GGTGCAGGACCTTTTGTTCCTCCTCTGCCCAAACTCTTCTGTATTCATTTTCAGAGACAGTTGCTACGAGGTAGTGTACTTTGGCAAGAAAAAATGCGAGGGTGTGGTTGTATTTTCCTGTCTGCTAGGGTGATTAATAAGGGATTCTTCCCCATGTGGAGAAACAAGGCCCATAAGCTTATCAGAAAATCCATTCATCCTTTAGGATCGAGCTAAAGTAAATGGATCAATGGAAAGTAAATATACAAGAGTCTTAGCTGAGTTCCTATTCAATAACTGGAGCTCAAAGGAGTGCTCTTAAACTTCACTTCGGTGAGAGTAGGTGTCCTATCTAACCGTTTCAGAACCTGTTAGAAGCTTTTCAAAGCACTTTAACTTTTGTCTCACCATTTGGGTGAAGGAATGTCCTGCTGCTCAGAGGCATTTTGCTATCTGTGCTATTTTATGCCCAAAGTTAAGATTTTGGAATGTTGTTATGGAGAAGTGCCACGCAAAGGCCCTTCTGCTCACTGTGATCATCCAGCACTATTCCTTTGCGGTGGCAGTCAAAGAGATTAAACATTTGATTCTCCATGGAATACCATTTAGAATCATAGAATCATTTAGGTTGGAAAAAACCTTTAAGATTGAGTCCATCCATTAACCTAACACTGCCAAGTCCACCACTAAGCCATGTCCCCAAGTGCTACATCTACATGTCTTCTCCAGGGATGGTGACTCAACCACTTCCCTGGACAGCCTGTTGCAGTGCTTGACAGCCCTTTCAATGAAGAAATTTTTCCTGATTTCCCATCTAAACCGCCCCTGGTGCAACTTGAGACTGTTTCCTCTCGTCCTATCACTTGCTTCTTAGGAAAAGAGACTGACGGCCAACTCTCTACAAGCTCCTCTCAGGTAGTTGTAGAGTGATAAGGTCTTCCCTGAGCCTCCTTTTCTCCAGACTAAACAACCCCAGTTCCCTCAGCCGCTCCTCATAAGACTTGCGCTCCAGACCCTTCACCAGCTTTGTTGCCCTCCTTTGGACACGCTCCAGCAACTCAATGTCTTTCTTGTAGTGAGGGGCCCAAATCTGAACAGAGTATTTGAGGTGCAGTCTCTAACTATCATATCTCAAAATGCTGAGCTTCAGGACACTGGGTATTAAACCTTGTATCTGCATTTCAAGCCTTTCCTGGACAAGTAATGATAGAACAGCGCTGTGCCATTGTGTTCTGTGCTGGCACGCAAGATCTGTAGTAGCATCCACAATGAGCAAGTCCTTAGAACTTGCTACCTGCCTGCTTACTCTCCCTTGTTGTCTCTACTTTTCTTCAGTGATTCCATGTCCTTTGGGTTAAACCTTAGCATCCAAGACTTTCAGAATAAGGTGATTCTTAGGGCAGTCTCTCAACAGTTTCCCAAAATTTCCCTGAGTTTCATCTCAGGCAGGAAATAATTTGTTTGCTATGTTTTTTTTTTTCTTCCTAGCTGCATACATTCGGAGTTGAGATTGCCTTATCTATCCTAGATGTTAGTTTTGCAGTGTCTTTTTAAATTGAAAGATGTTCTTTCAGTTTCAGTTCAAAGGACAAAAATGTTTCTTTCTGTTTCTGCCTGTGACAGAAAGATCTAAGAGGCAGGAGATTTAAAAGGGAGGCTGGTTTACCAGTGAGTGACTGCATTAGAATGCAAGTGAAACAGTTAAACTATTTTTGTGACTTTTTTTTGCATGCTCCATTGTTAACTTCTCTCAGGAACGTTTCTGTCCTTGGAAGGTGCACAGACAGCAACTTCTTTCACTTTCTCCAAGCACTAAGCTCTCTCTGAAAGATCTCAGTATGATGCCAAGTACTTCAGGATCATACTCCAGATTCACTGCCAAGGTGCTACTTGAAGCCACTGACAATTTGAATGAACGTGTATAGGCAAGAACTTACCAGGAAGGTATGTTATTGAACTAGGCTCTGTGTACGAGCTCTCCTTAGACTTGTGCTGCATGTATGTATATCAGACTCCACATTTCCTATCACTCTGTCTAGAAATCCTTGAAGGATTTGGGGTTAAGAGAAACAGCGAGCCTGTTCTGTTTGTGACTGTGTACATGATTCATAGCTGGACACAGTTTAGATGTGGCGACAAAACTGTTCTCAAATACTCTAGCATATTTATGCCCGTGGTGTGGTAGTACATAATAAGTATTTCAAAGGAGAATTGTTTTTGTAGGTAAGTAATTTTTTTTAAACAAACAGTTTGCCTAAGTATTTCCTAAGAGCAGGTAAGCAGACCTTGACATTTAGAAAATGAAGGTACTGTTCTCTCCCAGTGTAGTGGTATGTTCAGAGGAAGGGTAAATATTATTGATTTTTTTTTTTTTTGGGTCTAAGCTGAGCAGTAAATTTCCACTGGTGGTGTAATGATCTGTACTTTTCAAAATCTCACCGTTATCTGTGAGTGAAGATGATAGAGATATTTTGAGAAACATCATCTGATGAACCAGAAGTGGAGAGGTGTAACATCTTGCCGATGTGGTCATCTCTCTAGATGTAGAAACAATGGAACAGAACAGTTGTATTGTCTTTTGATCAACTTTACAATAGCTTGAAGATGGTCTTATGAGTGAAATGTCAGGTCTGATCTTATTTTTTCTTTTTGGTGCTTTTATCTTGTGAATCCTTTTTATTTTGCAGCCTTCATGCTGCCATAGGAGCTATTTGGTCAAAAGAATAACAGGTGTATGTGTAAGAAAAAGATCTGAAGTCAGGTTTAAAATGCTGTGTTTTCAAGTGATGCCTGATTAGATTGGAGAAGAGTTATTTCCGTTGCAAGAAGTGCATTGTTAAGGAAGAAACAATGTATACGAACGGTAAAGCAGCAGAGGAGAATAGGAAAACTTTGGTTAATTAACCTAGCTGATTGCAGGGATGATCCAGTCATCTTAGAGCATAAAGCTTAACCATGTGGCAGAGATCAAGTTTAGCAGTATGACACCTCTGTTCCATTCTTTGGCTACAGCAGGAGGCGAACAGAGAGATCTCAGACCTACATTTAACAAACATAGAGAAGACACCACTGTAACAAGGGGGAGTAACTGTCTTTCCTCCATATGAGAAGTAATAACGGTTATTCTAGAAATAGAGTATGAAGCCGATATTGAAAAGATTCTGTTCTTCATAAGCCACTAATTGACCTTTCATGATCAAAGCCCTGCAGAAACTCCAAATTGAATTATAGATTGTTGATTTTGTGTAATGTATTATCCACTTACTGAATCAAAATAAGAAATATTATGAACTTCTTTTACATTATTAGTGGCTATTTTTGATAGGTACGACACAGTTTTGCACATCTTCTGTTTTTTCCTTTGGTCTGGTGTAGGATCTGATAGCTTTCTTGGGATCAGACTTGACTTCCTTTTCCTGTTGATCCCATTGTTTGCCAAGAAATAAATTTTTTCCTGAATTCTGAAAATGCCTGCCCTACTGTCCATCATAATCTGCCCATGTGGGCACTGGAAGGATGGAGGAGCTAAGTAGCACTTTTTCCTTAAAGAAAAGGATTCTGTTGTCTCCCTGTTTGCCTAGATACTTCCTCACTTTCTGTGTCATGTCAAATATGGTTTGTTGTGGCAAAAGTCTCTAGCTGTTCTGTGAGTTCAGGTCTTGGTGAAAAACCACATAGTAAGTACTGAAAGGTAAATCCTGACCCAGCACTGGCTTCTGTCTGAGTGCAGTCCTGGGCCCCAGATGGAGCTTCGCTGACTTTGATGGGGCCACTTCAGATACATGGAGGCTCCTGATTGCTCTTTCACAGCATTAGGACTCACTGTTGAGGATACCTCAAGAAATACGTAACACTTGGTATTTTTGTTTTAAACAGTAACTTGGAGGTAAGGTAGAAATGACTTCCTGTTCCCTTAAAAAAGTACTTTTAAAACGATAGCTGAGTTATGTGCCTAATGTGAGTCACTGCAGAAATATAATAAGCATATTTATAAGGTCAAATGAGATGAACAGCTATATGTTGTCTTTCATTGAAGGTCAGTGTATCAGGGTGAGGGGCAACTAGTTTCACAGCTTTGGTGGAAAACCACAGAAATTTATCTATCTCTAAATGAACAATCTGCATAGGTTAATCTAAATCTGAATTTGCAGTACAGAGGAGAGTAACAAGCAGAATGTATACCTTCCTGAGTTTTTCAAGTCACTGGACCAGTGGAAGTGGCAAGTTGCTCTTCTAGAATGAGAAGGCTTGCCATTTGGGCATTGTTCACAGTGGCTCCCAAGGTGGTAGCTGAGCTGTTCTTTGGGTGCTCTTGAGTGTGTCCAGGATTTGTGGGAAGGAATGAATTGCAATTAACAAACACAGGTAACTAGTCTTCAGCTTATAAGTAACGCTGAGAGAGGAAATACAGGATATGAAGGTTTAAGTCATGATGTTGTTGCTGGTATTTTTGTTAAATACTGTGAATGCCCAAATTTTCTTCATTGCAATCTTACTCACATAAGAAGCCCAAATAAATACTTCATTAATTTCCAGAACTTCTTTACTGCATAGAATATCAATGAAATGGCCACGCTGTTTTAATTCAGAGTCAGAAAACAAATTCCCCTTAGACCTTCTGTCTTGTATTTCGGCATTCATATTTCCATTGGATGGATTTTTTTAGTTATAGTTTTTTGCAAATACATATGCCTTCTAAAATATCATGGATTTGTATGTGTTTATTTTCATTCAACTTATGTTACTATAGATCTCAGTGTTCTAAAAAAGTTGTGTTCTGTTATTTTATATTTTAGAAAATACTGTTATTTATCCTGAATTTTCTGTACATGAGCAGTAATTGCAAAGCATGCAGTAATATCTATTTAGGAACATTATAAATGTAAAGGCATACATTTGACAGCCTTGACATGTTTTCATAACTTAATGCTGTCCTCTTTTGGTAGTTTAAGTAGAAGATGGAATTATTTATTTGTTTTTTTTTTAAAAAACTAAAGAAAAGCATTGTTTCTGTATTGTAGCACTTTTCTAGACCCTGAAACTCGAAGAGCAATGGGAGAACAAGCAGTAGCTCTTGCCAAAGCAGTAAAATATTCCTCTGCTGGAACAGTAGAATTCCTTGTGGACTCCAGTAAGAATTTCTACTTCTTGGAAATGAATACTAGACTCCAGGTAAGAAAAACAGCTCTTCAGATTCAGAAAAGTGTTATTTAAAAAAACAGAACATAACCTCCTTCCATACTTAGGGGTCTGCTCCTGCAAAGACTTACACATAACTAACTTGATGCATGTGAGCACTTCCCACTGAACTTAAAAGATCTACTCACTTAAATAAGCCTGCGTATACAAGACTTTGGAGCAGTGAGCCCTTGCACAGCACTCAAGTAAGCATTCAGAGCTTTTGCTCTTTGTTACACTTGACCTAAAGACCTTGCAAGAGGTCACTGTTAAGTGCCACTGTGAGTTCACAGTAAGTGGCTAGCCACTGTGCTCTGGTGCTTTTCTCCACTGGTCCCTGAAGTTTCTTTTTTACTTTTTATACTTTGATTGCTTGCTGAGTTTCTCTGGGAGGGTGATTAAAACTGTATGTGTGTATCAGCAATAAAAAACACTAGCAATCTGCATATGATTGAAACTGTGACTGGAATGCAACTGTGTAAAAAACCATGCTGACATGGTGTAGGATTTTTGTAACAACATGTGTAGTCAGTAGTAGGTGTTATAATGTACACTGCAAATGAATGGACAAGCAGTGTTTTATGGAAAACGTCCTCTACCTCTTATTTGACTGTTACAATGTATTTCTGGTCATAATCTAAGAAAACAGGCACATAACTTAAAGTCTGGATGTCATTCTCAAAGACGGGAAGAAAGTTCAACTTGTAAGCAATTCAATCATCTTTATCCTCCTTTTCTCACTTTGTTAAATAATGCCAGAACGACTGAAATGTGGATCAAGCAATAGAGTGATTAGCTTCTTATTCTGTTTTAGATACATTTTGTTAGGGCTGTGTCCTGCCTGCCACTTGTACATGTGGGTAGTGATAGAGCACGAAGAGATCCTTGTAATTCTGACGTCTTTGCATGACTTTGTATAATGGCTGCGTAAATTTATGCTTTGGATAAAGAAGTGAGAGAGGATTTGGGGTACAAAGGAGGAATGGGGGTGTTTCAGTCTTCCCCTGTTTTTGGAATTAGTCAGGACAGTTATACTTCACATGCTTTTGCTAGGAGTTTGCTAAGCATAATCTGGTCTACCTTAGATTCAGTTAGGGAATGGTGATTAATGGCAATGTATAGTTCATTAAATATTATGAAGGATTTCTGTCTCTTTGGTCATAGTCTTTATTCCCAATCTTGCAGTTTTTGAGAGAACGCTTTTTAGTGACTCTCCATGTTCTTGTTCACATAGAAGAAAATTAATTTAGGGTTTTCTGCATAACCCACCAGAAGTTCAAAACCATTTCCTTGCTGTAGTGTATTATTGTGCATCAGTTCCTAAATGGAATTAGTGATGGAGTATCCTTGGGGTTGATTCTTTTTGCGGTTCATTTTTAAGATGTTCCCTTTACTGTGTTGTGGTGTCTTCCCCCTGCAATGCATAGTGGTAAGTGTTTGATGTCCCAAAGCTCAAACTTGCTTTATTGTAGAGGTCTCCACGTACACGGTAAGAAAGCTTTCACGATTCCATCTTTAAGGACTTTAAAGACTTCCTTTTGAAATATAGCCTAAGCAGTTTGACAATCCCCTATAATAGATTCATTCGTTCCAACTCCTAAAGAAATTTACTAATCTTAAATTACAGTACTTGTGTAGATATTCTCTAATTCCTCTATCCTGACTGTGCATTGTCTCTAATTAGTGTTTCAGCTTGAGGCTGGAGAGTAGTAATTTTCTCTGGTTCTTCCCCAGGCTTACCCGTTTGATCTGTCACTTCTCCCAGGTCTTAAGCTTTACTTTCTGTTCAGCTAACAGTTATGCAACTAACATCTCATTCTTGCTCCCTTTGGCTCTATTAAGAGCCAAACATAGAAACTCTAATGAAGCTTGTCCAGATTTAACTTCAGAACCAGGAGAGTCTCTAGATGTCTCTGTATTGCTTCAGCCTTTTCCTTTTGCATCTCCTAACTGTGAACAGTGGCTAACAGGCTCACTTGCCCTGTTTCTGCTGAACGCTCCACAGCTGGAAGAACTTTCCTAAATGATGGACATCTGAACCATAAATGATGCTCCTAATGTTGGTCTTAGTGTGCATTACAGACGCAGCTACCTGTCAGCATCATCAGAACGTGTCTACTAAATGATACGATTTCCTGTGTCTGTTCTGACGTTTCAGCAATCTCTAGTCAGATCACTGTAGCCTTTTTAGTTTAGATACAGACTTCAGAATATACTTGCATAAAGCTAACCAAACCGTGTCCAATACTTTGCGCTGCCTGCTGATTTCTCCCCTGCCTCCCTTTGGTGTATCTGTCAGCTATCTTCCAGTGTTTTTTGTATTTTGCAGTAATTGAGAATTGTATTATTATTTGGCTGTCTTTTTGGGGAACTCTTTGGGAATATACCTTTTCTGCTATATAGTTCTGCAAAAAACTGTAAGTAGCACCTTACAGGAAGTTTATATTTTATTTAATTTTTGTTTTAAGTGTTGCTGCAATACAATATGAGGTTGGAAAGTGAAAAAAGTTGGTGAATCAGCTCCATTGTGTCTCTTGTATGCTACACAAATCTGTTACAGATGTTTCACTCCCTCCAAGTGATTCAGCTAGAATGATTTATTCTTTACTGTTGGCAGTGTACTTTTTATTTTATCTGCTGCTTTGCCATCTTTCAGAGGCTAGCCTATAAGTATGAGACACCAGATTGGATAATTGCATAGCAAAACTAGTTATTCTTGTTTTTTAGAAGAAAATATAGAAATGGCTGCCCTAACAACTACAAGAGAACTGCTCGATGTTGTCATTTAGGGCACTTTTGGAGTGGTTTTCAGGCAGCTTACCACTGTTAGGATTGTTGAGGTAGACCAGGTGTTGAATATCTGATTCTTTATAGCTGCTCACACTGTGGGTGTGCTTTGTGTTACCTAGTTGTCATCAGCCTAATCAAAGGCAATCATAGTCCAAAATAGCCAAACAGGAGCTTTGAAATAAATAAAAAGTTTCTGACCCCTTACACTGGCAGCCTTTCTAACTTCCAGATTGTGTCAAAATCTCCTTATCATGCTACCATCGGAAATGCTGGCTTTCACTAGAAAAGTCTCTTCTGCTTTTCACTGGAAGATTAGAAATGTTCCTCTTTGACTTTATTGGAAGAATGTCTACAGTCTGTAAATAAAGAATATCTGTTAACATATGGGTGTGCGGCGTGGCTAAGCTTCTTACATGTGAATCAATAGGTGACAGCAAAGGGAAAACATCACATATTCTAGAAGTTTGTAGCACCTTGAAACGAGAAGCATCTCTCATTGGCTTGAGGGGAACTGAGAAAAGTGTGACGAGCAGTGTGAAGAGAGCACTTATCCTGAATACAGTTTGTACCTCTGTGTCTCGGGTCTGCTGCCAACCTTCTGCCTCCCCCATGTGTTGTGCGATTTAAATAAGAGTGAGCACTCCCTTCCTTCTCGAGACATGACCAAATTTGCTTAGAGTAATCTGATTGAAAAGACTGCTTGTATAGACTGTATTCAGCACAGTGGAGTTGTGAAATATGGTAATTTGAGTAGCAGTGTGTTTTCTCCTCGTGTGGCAGTTTGAATATTTTTGTTGTAACTTTTTAGGGATTAAAAGTTAATTTTGATGTGTTTGTAAGGGATTTATTGAAAGCAAATGGCATATCTGTATTTTTTTATTTTACAGTTACTTGTAGGGAGAGTAATGTAAATAAACTTCCGTACACCTATAAAACCTTACGCAGTATTAGGGTTTTTGGTCATCACTTTCAGTGTTTTCATCAGATTTTACTGACCTCTGGAAAATGTTATATTCCAGAGCTTTGTCTTTGTACAAAACTGGCCGTGCCAGGTGTAAAAGACAGAGGAAGCATTTTGTGTGCAACACATCTCTTTCTACCTCCCTTTTCATCTGTTTGTCCACTCTTGAAAGTATAAAAAGGATGACTGGGAAATGTCTAGAAGTATGTAGAAATCCTGTTGGTGATTGTCTGGAGCTCCACTGCTTATAAACTGCTGGTTCTAATAGTCTCTTAATGGTATCTGTATTCTGTTGCACATCATTAGGCAGCACCTGCTACACGTTTGCTCAGTGAAGGAGAGAAGTGCTGGAAAATATTGCAGCTGCACTATATAAACAATAGCAGCAAAATATAAATAGCAAAGTGATGAGCTGAGTCTGGATTGCCAGCTAAAACCACAGAGAGGTGGTGACTTTGGTATCCGTAAGGGACCCATGGGACAGCAAGAGGTGATTTTGTTGCCTTGGTGTGCGTAAAGGCCCGGCGGATGAATTGCGGTAGGTGGGCAGGGGTACGGGAGCAGTGAAAGGGGCTGTCAGGAGTTAAGAGGAGCAGATTTCTACAAAGTCTGAATGGTGGGGTTTCAAAGTAAAGTCTCAAGCGACTGTTTCTGCTGTTTGCTGAGACTCTTCATATTTCTTAATACTGGAATCTTGTTTTACTGTGACACTTTGCTTCAGTCATTTTAAATAGGCTAACGAACAGTGTCAGATGGTAAAGACTTTCAATTGCTGCTAACCTGGGCTGAATTTGAACTGCTGACCTAAAGGTGAAAGGTCTCTTATCCCATTACCAATCCCCTAAGCCCACCAGAATCCATTCTGCACACAGTTTATACCAGCTGTTCACGGCCATTTTTAGAAGCGAAAGAAAAGGTGATTTTGCTGCCAGACAACACTTCTTCACACAAGAGGGTCAGCCGACAACAGTTAACCAGATTTTTGCCACATTCTTGCCTCCTAATGCAACTTCCATTATGTAGCTACTGGTTGTCTGCTTTTCAGGCTTCCCAAAAGAACTACAGAAAAGCATTGCTAATTGTTGTTGACAGAAGAGAACGACATTGTTTGTGTAAGTCATTGAATCTGAAAGATGCCATTAACAGTGTGCCGGGCCATGGAGTGATATCTTAGAGACAACATTACCACGTAACTATCACAGAATACTATTAAAAAAGTAGAGGAAAAGGAGGCTTCCCTCCG